CACCCAACTACATGATTTGAAGAAGACGTCTGCAAGTTGCTACTAAATGAGTACAAAATTAGTATGTATATGCATGTTTTCTATAAAGCTATGGATGAATGTATAAGGACATCTGTTACGGCCCGCGCCTGTTACTTTTACTGAGGACGAACCGGTTCTCAAGAGCCCGTACGAGCGAGACAGAGAGAAGACCAGTCGGCCAGGGAGATAGTTTGTTTACTCTGACAGAGTAAACCAGTAAGACCAGTAGGAGTTGTTTATTGTGTACAGGAACTCAATGGTGGTCTGAATCCCAGACGCGTGGCATGCGCCGGGCCCTGGGCGCGCGCGTCTGTCTGTGCAAGTCCAGTGAGACACAGGGTGCATGTACTTTAAAGGGGACGCGAGAGACATAGGCCGAGAATGGGCCAATCAAGACTGAGCATACAAGAGTGGCTCACGGCAAGCGGCTCTCGTGGCACCGTTGAGTGCGTTGACTCATCATGGGGATAGCCGTCCTCCCAACACCATCGAAAATCAGTAGGAAAAGTCTATACTTCACAGAGGAATCACTTGTGATGTTCGAAGGCGACCCCAAAGGGAGGCATCCTGGTGTGACTGAAACACTGCATGCTGTAACCGGCTCGAACCCATAGTACAGATGACCTTGCGAGATGACCTCGACCAAGCACCAGAGATGGTTAGGACATGCTAATAAGCAGCCTTGAAATGTAATGAAAGAGCACCTATAGTATGGGTTGGCGGTCCTGAGTTAATTTGGGCACGTGTCCATCGACAAGTCACCCTTGGGTGTGGAAGTTTAGTTAACCATTGTAGTTGATCTTATATCCCGCTCTGTTTGCATATAATCGTTGTTGTCAATAACGCCTGCGCTTCTTGACCGTTTCTTGTATTTGCTGTCTTTTGTGTTGGAAAACACTTTCTATAAAACAAACTACCGCGAGGATATGTAGTACGACAAATTTATTCTGTAATCCTCATAAAGTATTCTGTCACCTCTAGGCTGCTAAAAAAAATAACGCGGAGCGCATACTGCACTTACCTGCGCATGACTCACCCGTACCTTCTGAGAAGAAGAAGAAGAAGAAGAAGAAGAAGAAGGAGGAGGAGGAGGAGGAGGATCGAACATTGGAATCATAATTTTATTAGCCTGAGCGAACATTCGCTTCAATTCACCCGTACCTGTTGGTGACCCTGAGGGTGGTTTGGAGCATGTATCCGAAACGCCGGGCGAATAAATTTCTTGTCCCAGTTATCGCGTTTGTTTCTTTTCACTTACGTCCTGGGACTCGAATTTTCGGTTGTGTAGTCAAAGCACATTTTATTTCCCGCTACTTACTAGCTGAGCTGCGATCTGAAAGTTTGATTGTATTAAGCTCCGCACTAGTTACTTCATTTGCTCCTTCTGTTTTTAGAAAAAGTCAACCAAATAAAGGCCTGCTTCGCTGACTTCCATTTGCCTGAATCAAACCTCCCACCTCGGGCCAAAACGTTTCCGGAAGATGCATGGAAAGAAGAGCTTTTGGTGAAGCTTAGAGATTCGAGATCTCACCCTGCGCAACGGAACTAACAGGCTGCGCGCTATCCTGAAACCTCTGGAATCCAGTCATTCCCCTTTACTTTCTAAATTCCTTGTCGTAACTTCACTCTTTGGAACTTCTGTTGACTTGTTAGACAATAATCCAGCATGCAATACTCCTGCACCAACGACTCTTTTCTCTTACTTACCTTCAGCAAACAGACTGGTGATGAGAAGTCTAATTCACTGCGATTCTTATGGCACGTCTGTAATCAGAATGGTGGACACAATGGCACAGGACTCCTGTCTACTGGGCTGCGCAAACTTTGTGTGGGGCCTGCACTCCCATCGTTTATGCTCTGGACATGTCTTTGATGCAGACCTTTACACAAGGCTGGTCACTGTGTCACAGGCGGTTAAGTTAATGGGGAAAATCCTTGCCACTGCCATCTTCAGGCCCGGTTTTGTGTGGGAAGAGAGGCATTGGGACACCAGGTGGCAGGAATAGCGTATTTTATATAGAGCTAGTGGAGGAGCATAGGTTGGAGGAAGCTGACGGTTGGACGAGTGTATGACCACCCGCGAAATGGCGTCATCCCAGCGTCTGCATTGCGGTCATATATAAGTCGGCCACGGGGAGATGATTGGCCAAACCGGATTTGGGTTGGCAAGCACTGATGCTTGCGTACTGGCTAGCAGTCGCAAGAGACTCAGCATAGCGTTCGTAGTTGAGTCACCAAAGGCATAATAACATACGCCACCCTCTCATTCGACCCTATCCATGGATATTTAGTCACCGCATCGACTTCCATGATATTCCGCGGTAAAATATCGCAAACCCAACCTCAACACCACGCAACTTCCCGGCAGGTTGCAGGATGCTGGGAAGGAGTGGTGTTGTTAAAAGCACGCGGTATGGTATCTTGGAGATGATCACGTATGGTGTGAGTGCTGGCAAGGAGTAATATAGCAGTATGGTATAGCCGGCGGCGTTCAACCGTAGGTTTTCATGGGGACGCATGAACTGCGTGTTATTTTGTAACCATAAAGACACCACTGACTGACAGTAAGTACCGAATTTGAATGTCCCGTCGATGCTCTCTAATAAAAACAGCAAGTTGCACTTAGGCATTTGAGAAGTAAAACAAACGAGCATAAAGTGCGCAAACAATAATTTGCCCGAGTTAGACTAACGAGGTCTCGGGGAAAACTTTACACACCATATTGGTTTGAGTTATCTGCAGCCATGACTGCTGGATAACCTTATTAAATGCGAAATAATTTTCAGAAATCAGTGACACTCATTTTGGGCTCACTGTGCTTACTCTGCGCAACTACGTACTTATTTTATAGTAGTTAGCATGTTTTCTCACCGTACAGTCCGTCAACATAGCACTCCCGAAGGGATTTCTTTAGCGTGCGGCAGTCGCTTTTAGTTTTAGTTAAGTTTTATTAGTTTGGTTTTAGGTTTTTGATTACTCTAGTTTTTAGTTTATTTTAATTCTACTTTTCTGGCGAGATATGGTTGATTTTTAGGTTGTTGTTATTATTACTAGAATACCGGTCCAAATGCATTAGAAGCTATTGTGAGTTTATAAAGAAATTGCGAAAAAGGCTCATCTTTCGGGGGGTTTTACTTTAATCTCTAAAATTAGATATGAAGTCGATATACGATTGCATCCAATTCGCGTGGGGGCACTATTGGGCAGCTCTTGTTTCCTACTGGTCGCATTTCTAATTTTCCTTATCGCTTGCCAAGTATTATCGGTAATTTATTACTGTTATTTTGTCTGCTCTCTGCATTTTTAAGGTATTTTTTTCCTCCCTGATATGCCCTACCTACCTATTGTCACCGGTCGCGTATTGCAGAATGCTTGGGTCTTCAATGTATTACTGGCAAA